CAGGATCAGGCTTTTACAGGATCTTTCAAAAAAGGCTCTTATTTTCAAAAGAACCACGTCTAGACTGTGGGTTCACTTTCAAAATAGCGCTTTTTCGAAAGGGCGCCCTGACACAGTTATGCAAATGAAGCATGGGAAATTCAAATCCTGGCTTCATTTGCAGTTTCAAAGTGTCTAATTTATATCCCTCTGTCAAAAAGAGGGATGTAGTCTAGACGTACTCATCTTGATTCACAGGCAAGCTGAAGCTGTCGCCATCTTGTAAAATACCTGTTGGTGCTTTGTAATATTTTGACTGACTACATACAGTAGGACTCTAAAGCTCCCTGATGGATTGACTGAATGCTGCCTACAAATCTTTTTCCTATAGCAGCTGGAAAAAATGGCCAAAACGTTTCAGCCACAAAAATGAGGACCCATATTCTAGCCTGCAATTATCAATGAATTCTGCTGACTGCTTTCTCAATAGAGTATTAAACTGGGGGGCTGTGTCTAGACTGGCCAGTTTTTCCGGAAAATCAGCCGCTTTTCCGGAAAAACTTGCCAGCTGTCTACACTGGCCACTTGAATTTCCGCAAAAGCACTGACTTCCTACTGTAAGAAATCAGTGCTTTTTGCGGAAAAACTATGCTGCTCCCGTTTGGGCAAAAGTCCCTTTTGCACAAAACTTTTGCGCAAAAGGGCCAGTGTAGACAGGTGAGATTTGTTTTCCGCAAAAAAGCCCCGATCGCGAAAATGGCGATTGGGGCTTTTTTGCAGAAAAGCGTGTCTAGATTGGCCATGGTCACTTTTCCGCAAAAAGTGCTTTTGCGGAAAAGCGTCCATGCCAATCTAGACGCGCTTTTCTGAAAATGCTTTTAACGGAAAACTTTTCCGTTAAAAGCATTTCCGGAAAATCATGCCAGTCTAGACGTAGCCAGGCAGTGCAGTGCTTGTTAGTTTAACATCTGGTCAGTAGTAGAATGCATACTCAGTTATACTGATATTTGTTCTGAATTTATTCTGTATATGAAGATTGAAACATAAATTTTTAGCCTCTTAGATCCATGCAAATAAAAGCTGAATCCATGTGTACTAAGATTGTAAAGTAAGCAACTGCTTTTATAATCTGGCTATGTAATTCTGTTTCAAAGTTCCTTAATAGCTTTCCAAATTTTTCTTACTGAAGTTATCAGAATACCAATTCAATTCTGATAAGACAGTGAACCAAATGCACACATCATTGGAGTATAGTTGGATTTTTTTATGGAATATTATAATAGCGAATGTAACTAGCATTGATGGAGGGGGAGAGAAAGAGAAATTTAATCTGACTTCTTTGGTCATGGTCGGAAGAAAAGTTCCCCATCAAATATGAAACAACTAAATTATAAGGGTAAATACAGAGGTGATGTAGAAGTTAAACTCCCTTACATTAAAGACTTATCTTTGGTAGGGGATTTTGCATTCATCTAAACTGGGGTTGTCATAAATTGTGCCAGTGCAGCACATATTTTTACATTTATCAGATTCAGAATGAAGATGAATCTAATGTAGATTCTGCTGTAGGCTAGCATAGTGCATTTACACAAGATTTGCAATTGGGGTAGCAATCACTAATGTTAACAGGCCCTACTGGAGTCCCCTAGAGCTACTTACATCCATTCTTCTAGCATCTAAAAGACATTAAGTGCATTTAAATTGACAAGGTAGCTGGAGAAGGTATAAATCTCTGTAGCTTCAATGTAGACTTCCTTAAAGTTGAATGGACTGGGTATAAGTAGTTGTGCAGGAGTTTATTGTAAGGCTAAGGCTATATCTACACTGCTCACCTTACAGTGACATAACTATGCTGCTACACTCATCCCGCTGTAAAGTATGTAGTATAGTCCTGAGAGCTCTCCTGTTGACAGAATCATGTCTAGTGCTTTACATTGGTAAAACTTCTGTCAGGCTATGTCTAGACTTCTTCTGAAAGAGAGTGGCCACACTGCAAAAATGCATTGAAAAAGCGATCTGCTTTTTCAAAAGGTAGCGTCCACAGTGAATGGATGCTCTCTAGCATTTCAGCTGCAATTACTGTGGACGGAGTAGCTACCAGGGCACTTGTGCTTTTTCCTCTTTCCTCTTCTTTCGAAAGAATTCCCTCTTCCCCATCCACATATGCCTTTTTCCGAAAGCCAAAAGAGCTCTTTCGGAAAAAGGTTTCTTCCTCATAGAATGAAGATTACCAATGTCAGAAAAACCCCTCTGTTATTTCGATTTTTCTTTCGGAAGAATGGGTTTGCAGTGTGGACGTAATTGAAGTTTTTCCAGAAAAACAGCCATTTTTCAAAAAAAACTTTGTAGTGTAGACATACTCTTAGGAGTATGTTTCTTCACACCTTTTGCCAAAAAAATGTGGCACAGCATAACCTAATTTACGTATCTCCAAATTTGGCTCCTGACATCTTTGTTGCGTTGTTTTAGAATTCTTAGTTACTTGTGTGGCTAGAAGTGCTATGTTCAAATCCTGAAAGTGTACAGTTATTTTAAATGTGTTACCATATAATGCCTTTATAACTGTGGATTTTTATGCATTAGGGTTCTGCAGAATAATGAGAGAATGGGGCTTCATCCCAATGGAGGGATGGAGCCTCATTCTTGTTGCCATTTGGAGTCGGTGGGTTTAATGCTATTGATCGCATTAGAAGCAAGATCAAGCTCTATCTAAAACTAGTCAATTGCTGCTATATTTTTTATGCTGCACTACTTGTGTGAAGTGCTTGAGGCCCAGGATGATGACAAGGTCTTTTGAAACCAGTTTTATTATACTGTGGGATGCTCATATCTCTAGAGCCCTATGCCAATTTCCCTACCTGGTAAGTCAGTTTCAGATCCAGATCTCCACTAACTACAGAGGTGGCTGAATAATATGAGGAGCCCACTTACTTCTTTGGTCCATGTCTCCCTGTTCCAAATGTGTCATCCCTGATAACAAGAACTGATCATAGTATGCTGCATAGCACACAAGACAATGCCATCAAGATAATCCTTTTGAAGAACAATCTTCCCAGTGAGAAATAAATAACTGGGTTATTTCTCAGTCTAGCATCATGTTTAAAATAGTTCAAGCAGAGTAGAAAATGTATTGGTATTTGCTTGCTGTTTTATCCGGGGGCTGTGTCTAGACTGGCCAGTTTTTCCGGAAAATCAGCCGCTTTTCTGGAAAAACTTGCCAGCTGTCTACACTGGCCGCTTGAATTTCCGCAAAAGCACTGACTGTAAGAAATCAGTGCTTCTTGCGGAAATACTATTCTGCTCCCGTTCAGGCAAAAGTCCCTTTTGCGCAAAAGGGCCGGTGTAGACAGCTGAGATTTGTTTTCCGCAAAAAAGCCCTGATCGCGAAAATGGCGATCGGGGCTTTTTTGTGGAAAAGCACGTCTAGATTGGCACGGACGCTTTTCCGCCAAAGCACTTTTTGCGGAACAGCGTCCGTGCCAATCTGCACGCTCTGTTCCGAAAATGCTTTTAACGGAAAACTTTTCCGTTAAAAGCATTTCCGGAAAATCATGCCAATCTAGACACAGCCTCTGTGTAAACTTAAGCACTGTACACATATTGCAGTTGCTGTACAAATGCTATAGCTGAGTTTTTCTCAGCTTGTCTACATTTAAGCCAACTCTGCATCAAATTGAAAAATATATTTACTTTGTGGTGATTGGGTAAAATTTAAAAAAATGCCTCAATCAGCTAGCATAAATCACATTTTCAAATGCTCCCATGCTCTTAAATATGCATATTTCACTGAATGGAATGAAAATCAGGCTCCTAATTAGCTTCTGAAAATTTGGCCCAACATCCAAACATGCTCAATGTTTTACTAACCAACTGCATAAACTACATATACAAATAATTGAAACAGATGAGTGATGCAATGTATATTCCGCACTTGCAATGTGATCGTGTTAGTTCTGTTGAGGTGATGGTGGTCGATTTAAATGTATATTATTAATAGCTCAATTCAAGATACTTGGTGACAGATTTGAACTTTTATAAATGGAAGTTTAGCCATATAGTCTTATTTCTTAAAATGTTGATCAGTGTGAATCCATTACAAATACAGACTTCTCTTAGCAAACTATTGTGAAATGTTAATTTATTTCAATTTTCAGGCAATCACTTCCCCGTGTGATTTCTTCAGAGCAAAATTGACACATACTGCTTGTGCAATGTAGAAGAGCTTGTATTGAGATCACTTATGGTGTATTTGTTCTGTGAATAAACAGGCTTTCCACTTAGCACCTTTATATGACATTTCCCTCCCAAACCTCATTCCCCTCTGAGTTTTGAAGTGGCCTGAAGACAAAGGTGATATAGCAAACATAGGCTATGTCTGCACTATCGGGCTATATTGGAAAAAGGTATGTAAATTGCTCTTTGCAATTTGCATACCTTTTTCCAATAGTTTTTTTGGAAGAGGCTTTTCCAAAATTTGGCCCATCTACACGGGGCCAAATTTTTGAAAAATCCCCTTTTTTAGAAGAACCGTTCTTCCTCATTGGAGGAGGAAAACAGGGCTTCCGAGAGAGCGCATCTGCTCTTCTGCAAAAAATGTCGAAAGAGCAGACTGTGACCCTGGACATTTCACTCCATAGACTAGACATAGCTATATATAACATCTCTAAATTGATGGGTACAGTATACATACAGTCTTTGCAAGAGATCAATCTTATTAGACAACCTCCTTCTTAACATACCATCTCAAAGTATTATGAAATGTTCTGTATTGAGTGCAGTTCTATTCCACCTTTGTTATAAGAATATATCTGTTAATCAACTCATTTATCTTTCTTAAGATGTTTGTCACCGTATCTATCTAAAATAAGACTGAGAATGTGTGATTTGTTTAATACTTTGGGCCTGATTTTCAGACTGCAGCTCTGGTTGACTTCAGTTGGAGTCTTTGAGTGCTCAGCTTTTTGCAAATCAGGTCTTTTCACTTTTTACATTAATCTTTATGTGGGTTTTTTCCTTTTCAGGTGCCAGATTTCACTATCACCGATTTGTCCTCAGAATCTGATGATATTCCAGACATTTTGGGTTTGGATGAGGAAGACCAGCAAGATTTTTCACGCACTAACGGCCCTATCAGCATGGGACCAAGAGCTGAATAAATATCAGGCACAAAACTGTTCTTTTGATTTTATATGTTTTTTTTGCCATGTTAACTTATATTTCTGCTGTCTAAAAAGAAATCTATATAGCTCTTGGAATGTACAGTTTTGGATCAATTTTGTTTCATTTAGCTGCATCGAAATTCTGATTTGCATCTCTTTTTTTATGGATTGCATTTTAGCATAACTCTATAGCATGGGTATCAAACTTTAATCCTGCAAGCCTGCTATCAGTGTAGCCAGTTGAGGTGCACATCTATTTAAAACTGTTTTGCTATTTGGTTTGCTTTCAGCAACAGCCAAAAACAGCACTTTACACAAAGGGCTGTCAGCAAAAGGAAACGGACTAGGATTTGCTGATAAAAGTTTCCCTCTTTTAGTCTATGTTTAAAGCACTTATTGCATCTACCTCTTTGCTGCTGGAAAGGATTACAGGCTGACCATGGGATCCTAGTCAGTTTTGATGGGACTCTGTCACCAGAGTTTGAAACAGTGTCCCTCTATAGGAAGTGTTTATAATGAAATAACTCCGTTTCCCTCTATATTCCTTCCATGTATATGTACTTCTGTTTCCCAGGGGAGACCAAGGATGGGAGTTTGAGTTAGAAGAGCCCCAAAGTACAATCATGGGACCAAGTGCAGAAGGAAATACAAATAAGAACACAGAGAATAAAAAGGGAGAAAGAAATAGGAATAAAAAGCAACAAAAAAGAGAGAAAAGGAGAAAACAAAATAACAAAGGGAAATGATATAAATAATCATGGTCAAAAGGCAAACAAAGACAGAGGAGGAACTCACACATACCATCTTTTTTGCTGAGTGATCAAGTAGGGCAACTTTAATAACTAATGGCCTGATACTGCTCTTCTTGCACACACCATTGACTTCAGCAGATACAGCAGGATTAGCCCCAATCAATGTTATGTTACTATCCTGGTTCTTTGTGCAAAAATCCCACTATCACTATTGGGAAGTCATGTGGATTTTATATGGTGCTAATCTTGTAGACCAGGCCCACTGATTTTGATTAGGCTCTTGCTATAGAATGATGTTGACACCCCTACTCTATCATAATGTACTTTCTGGTTTTTGTGAAAGCTTTGAAGTCTAGTCACTGAAATGCCTTGAAATAAAGTTTGAGCTATAAATCTTAGAATTGGTGTGGTTGCATTTCTTTGTTGTCTCATACTTAATTCCTGTCTAAAGAACTCTCATTTTAATTATTTGAAGCAGGGGACAGGATGCATTTAGAAAGGAGCAGAGGGGTGTCCAATTCATAAATTGACATACACTGAGCTAAATCTGACCCTAAGCAGGCAAGTGACAGTCTCACTTGTGGGGCTCACACATACTCATTTGTGGAAGAAACAAAATTGCTGTATTCTGCATGCATCTTCACAGAGCCAGAGGTGGACTGATTATATTTGTTGCAATATAAGATGATTTTATTTGCAAAGTTATATGTTTGTATTAGAACAATTTGTCATGAATGACTTTTACTGGCTTAAAACACTATAGCGGTAGCACTGCTCTTGTAGCTCTTCAGTGTAGACGCTCACTACGGTGACAAGAACAGGTCTCCCATCACTGTAGTTAATCCATCTGTGACGTAGTGGGCATGCAGTACACTCTGTTTGGGCAGGTCAGGCATTCACTGGTTGCTGTGTTTGGGCTGTGAGTGACCCCTACTGGCCTGTGTCTGTAAGCACTGCCCAGCGTGGGGGGTCGGCTGAGGAGCCTGAGGTCACGTAGACAGTGACCCAACCCGTCCTACCTGTTGTGGGCAGGGACTGAACAAAGGAAGTGAGTTTTGGGAGGAGTCCGTTTTTTTGGCTGGGAAACATGAAGGGAACAGATTAAGCGGAGTGCTGGGAGTTTAGGGGCCTAGGCACCCCACCCCAAGGGATCTACGGCTGCCTGGCCCTGACTCCTTAGACCCACATCACGCCTATGATATGCTGTAGCCTGGAGAAGCAATAAACCCTCTCTATTCTACTGGCTGGCAGAGTCTGTTCTTGCTGCTATGGGGGTGCAGAATCGGGGATCCCCAATGTGCCGTCACACCATCTCCCTGAGGCTATGTACATACTACAGTTTATGTTGCTCAAGAAGTTATACTGCTTAGTGGTGTGAATAAGCCACCTCTCTGAGGCTCTGTCTACACTACAAAGTTTTTGGGCAAAAATGGCCGTGCAGGAGCCAGCAGCACAGGCATCCCCCTTTCCTTGCTGCCTCTGATACAGGTGTGTGTGTGGGGTGGAGGGCAGTGTATAGTCTAGAGATTAACTGGTAAACCGAGGCTTATTGGTTAATCGTGTACATGACTGCTAACATCCATTGACCTATCTGTATTCAGGAGCAGCGTGAGGGCGGCTGTGGCAGCTGGCGCGGAAGGCGCAATCGGCGCCCTCGCCTGCACGGCCATCAATGGCCGTGATGTAATCACGGGGCGCCCTGGCACCCTGCGATGTCATCATCAGGTGCCTGGGCCGGTGACATCCTAGGCAACTGCCTAGTTTGCCTAGGCTCACAGGCCGCCCCTGTCTGTATTAAAATATTCCAAATGATGGCAATAAGTCCAGTTTTTCTGGAGTTGCTCAGGCTCTAGGACACTCACTAGGAGGGTGGTGAAGTACTGGAATGGGTTACCTAGGGAGGTGGTGGAATCTCCATCCCTAGAGGTTTTTAAGTCTCAGCTTCACAAAGCCCTGGCTGGGATGATTTAGTTGGGATTGGTCCTGCTTTGGGCAGGGGGCTGGATTTGATGACCTCCTGAGGTCTCTTCCAGCCCTAGGATTCTATGATTCTCTGGATAGCTGAGGGAGGTGGAGTTAATGGGCACCAAGTGTCACACATTTTAATGTTCCAAAGTTTCGGAGGGGTAGCCATGTTAGTCTGTAACAGGAAAAACTTCCAGAATCAAGAATAAATAAGGGAAGGAGTGGGAAGGAAAAAAATTGGAGGGGGGAGGTGAAGAGGACATTGGATAGATACATTTCTAAGAGACAGCTGAGCCAGTCTGTATCAGGAAAAACTTAAAAAACAACAAATAGTCTATTAGCACCTCAAAGAATAAATAGTTAAAAGAGGCTGATAAGAACCATTAGTTTGCACTAGGAAAGGAAGAGTACTAACACCGGATTCTGCACAGACATCAAGATCCATTGGCACCTTCATTGGCTGATTGGTTGATAATGTGTGGACCATCAGATATCACAATTTAGACTATTTGCATGAGAGTTAAACTTGAGAATGAAGTGGAGTTCCAATCCTTCTCTGTGTATTTGGCTTGTGGAATTGGTCTGAAACAAAACAGCAACTTGTAGATCCCTTAATGAGTGTCCAGGGAGGTTAAAGTGTTCCCCAACAGGATTTTATGTGTTGCCTTTTTGGGTATCTGATTTATGTCCATTAATTCTTTCCCATTGGGACTATCCAGTTTGTCCAATATACATGGCAGTGGGCCACTGCTGGCATTTGATGGCTAGGATTGCCAGGTGTCCGGTATTGGCTGTTTTTCTCAGACGGAAGGCCGCTTGGGACATTCTTCCCATGCCACAGCTGGTGGGGGAGGAAGGAGCTTGGGGATTTAATGGTGCCGTGACTCTTTTGTGTGTGTGTGATTTTTGTTTTGTTTTGTTTTTTGTTTTTGCTCAACCAATGTTTTTCCTACCATTTTTGTGAAACTATCTGGCAACCCTTTTGATGGCATAGATCACATTACTGGATGTGCAATTAAATGAGCCTCTGATCTGGTGGCTGATGTGGTTGGGTCCCGTGGTGAAATCACTTGTATAGATGTGCAGGCAGAGTTGGATCTGGGGTTGATTGCAGGGGTTGGTTTTTCCTCCCCTACCCCCTGCTTCCTTCCCTTATTTATTCTTGGTTCTGGACTTCCAACACTCCCGTCATCTGAAGAAGTGGGCTGTGCCCACGAAAGCTCATGATACCATCTCCATGTTTTGTTAAGTCTCTAAGGGTACATCTACACAGCAAAGTTATTTTGAAATAACAGCCCTTATTTCGAAATAACTTTCCTGTGTAGCGTCTACACAGCCAAACCGCTATTTCAAAATAAATTTGAAATAGCAGCATGCTTATTTTGAATTTGGTAAACCTCATTCTACAGGGAATAACGCCAAATTCGAAATAGCTTATTTCGAAATAGGAGGCCTCCAGCCTTCCCAGGGTACCCTGGTGGCCACTCCAGCCTCAACCAAGAACACTTCTCTCTTTCCGTCCCTCCCCATCCCTGGAGCCCTTA